TCTGCTTCTCTCCTGGGCCCGGTGAAGCCACTCCCTTGTGATTAGCCCCACTGTGCAAAAATCCTTGGCAATCTCTCTTTGCAGGCTTCTCTTTTATCACTCAACTTTTAAAGAGTTCCATCCCAGGCCTTCTCTTTCTCCCTGAGTGAGGGTGTCAACACCCACAGCTTCAATTATCACCTATGAGATAATTTCCTCCAAATCTCCAAGTCAAATATATCTCATAAGTTCAAAGAGCTGCATATCCCCTTATTTAACAAATACATAATGAACACCCACTATGTGTGAAGCTAGGGACCACTCATTGTTACCACTAGGAAGTTTATAGGTAGTTCTCTATGTCAAAAACACATTATGAGAACCTTTCCTCCAGAAGGGCAATTCACTCTGTATTTTCTAGCTTGATAAGTGATACTATTATCCACTTGGCTACCCAAGCCATAAACTTGGGATTCATTTGAAATATCCCTTTCTCCTTCACTACACACTCTTCACCCCTACTCAACATCTGTGCTCATCTCTGGTTAGACAGCAAATCTTAACAGTTAGACACTCTGAAAATCTCAAATCTGTGCTTTCTTCTTCAACCCCTTAGCCTCTGAGTTTAGGCCATCATCACTGTTTGACTCATTTTAATCTCCTCTAATATGTCCTCTATACTACCGCCAGCATCAGACCTTCTCAGTGTGAATTTCACCATTAATTTGCTTCCCTCAAGCACTTCATGGGTGCAAAACACCTTCAGAATGAAGGTCAGCGTGGCCATAGCACCTTTCTGCGGCTTGTCCTGGCCCTATCTCCTTCTATCGTGTCCTCCATTCTGGGCCCATACTAAACAACTTGCTGTTTCCCAGAGACATCTTGAGAAGGCCTTTATCTTCCCTTTATACTACCATTCCTCTTTTTTTATTTTTATTTGTTATTTTATTGGGGAACAGTCATGGTCATTGGTTACACATTGCTTCCATGCTACAATGGCATAGTTGATTGACTCCTTTAGGGAGGGCCCAGCTCACAGTGGCCCATGAGGGGATCGAACCAGCAACCTTGGTGTTATCAGCACTACGCTCTAACCAACTGGTAGGAGGCAACCAGTCACCCCCTACCATTCCTCTTTTAAATGACAATGCAGCCTAGTGGATAACCACATGAATTTGGGGGCTCAGGAAACCTGATATCCAATTCTGGACAAGTTGCTTTTTTTCTCCTAAAACCTCAATTTTGTCATTAGGGTTGTTTTGAGAATCAAATCCTGTATTTATTTGTTGAATAAGTGAATGAATGACATATTCCTTGAGTGTCAACCACCTGCCAGGCCCTGTTCTAGGAACTGTAGATACAGCAATGGACAACAGAGTTGAAGCCCCTGTCTTAAGGGATCTTACGGTCTGGATAGCACATGGGAAGTGAACAAAAAAGTTATAATTATTACTCATCTGAGGCTTTGGTCATAGCCCCTTGGGGAAACTTTTCAGACCTACCTGCTTCCCAATTTTCATTCTGAATTAGGTGTTCATCTCCTGTGAGCCCTATGTGGTACAATTATAGCATTATGTTGTATCATAATTGCCTATGTTTTTATCTTAACCTACAACGAGTCCCTCAAAGACCGATCCTGGGACTTTTCTTGTTGTGTTGCCAGCTTCCGGTACACAAGACTTCCAGTTATAAGTGTCAAGTGAATGAATGAACATTTTAGGGGATGCCTAGCATTGTTCAAAAATGACAACACATACCACTAAAGAGTATTTGATATATGCCAAACACTGTGTTGTTTAAATACATTATGTAATTTAATCTTCACAGCAACACTGTGAAAGCAGTATTATTAAATCTACTTCATAAATGAGGAAACTAAATCTTAGAGATGCAAAGTAACTTGCTAGAGTCACCCAGCTAGCGGGTGGTAAAACCAGGTCGGGGACCCAGGTTGGCCTAACTCCAGAGCCCCAACTTTAACCATGATACTCTATGAGAGGAGCCATTTCTCCATAGGGCAGGTGGAGATGTAGGGCAGTTTTCTGCATATACTTTAAGTACATAAGAAAGCTTTAATCCATAGTTGATGCACACAGACATTTTAGCTTAGTTATATTTTTCTACAATGATCTGTGTGACTCTGCTCACCCTGCTGAGGGGTGGGGAAAACGGAACTGGGTTTAAACTTGCCAGTTCACAGTATTACGGCGTCTTGCAGTTTACACTGTTATACATCGAATAGCTTCATTTCCTGGGGGAACATTTAGTCTTTTAGATGTCCTTCCCTCTCTTCCTAGCCCCTCTGCCTATCTATGTATACCAAGCCACTGATGTCAGTGTTTCCGATGATGGGGCTGCACCTATTTGGGAAGGGAGGTGTCAGGGTGATGTTCTTTAAGGCGGTCTTTCCCCGGAGTCTCAAATGGGAAATGAGACAAGAGTCCCTTAGGCTGAGAGCAAAGCCGATCCCTCTCTGACGTCTGTCTTCCTTCAGAGACCTGGAGATTGGGAGCCTGCTTTTTCCTACTTCCATCCCCTTCTTCCTACACTGAGTTAGGGTTGGGAAGGGTAGACTCTCCCCTCCCTCTTCCTGCCTTTTCTGCACTTTCCCTATTTCCTAGCATCCTCCTTCCAAAGTGGAATGTGCCCCCCCCCCACTTCTCTCTAGCCCTAAACTAGGGAATGGCTGCCAGGTCACCTGATTTATGGGAAGATGAATGAAAACACATCTGTTTAATATTTTCAAATTATTACCCGTTACCCCTGCATCTCAGATGGTAATCACAGGTCTCTAGCGCTCTCTGGGTCCCTTTATAGTCATGTGGCTCAGAGCGGTTCTAGAGGAATATTTACAAGGGCTCTTTGATACCTCCTTCACCTGACTTGCTACCCTTCACGTTTTAGCCCATTAACCCAAATTCTTGACCATAATCCTGTTGTTCGTGAGTAGCCTCTCCACAAAATTAGTTCGTATAATCAATGAGCTATACATTCAAATTCTGACAAATTTTGTCCCCATCAATAATACCAATGTCTAACGTATTACTTAAATATGGGATCATGGAAAAGTAAGCTATACTAAAGAACCCAAAATGAGAGGGTATACTCTGAAAACATTAAATATTTGATTTGCAGACTGTGTCTTTCATATTCAGACTGTCCCCAAAGAAACGGGAAGCTTTTGTGAAAGAGAACAATTTAATAAGGAAATTGACAACCATGGGGCCAGTACCAGAAATAGTAAGAGGAAACATGGATCCTTCTAGCAATGACTACACTCTCAAGGCCCTGCAGCTCAGTGTGCAATGTGAGGCATGGTGTGTATCTCTTAGATATGTCTTTGTACTTTGTAAGTCTTAGGTCAGAATCGGATCCTTATTGTATGAGAAAAAATTCTCATGTAAGCTGAGATATGAAGAAATCAACTTGTACAATGTGAATTCACTGGAGAAGCAGAAAATAAAATCATTAAAATATAGCCCAAAATAAGAAAAAAAATGCACCCTTGTTTGAGTATACCATTACCATCTGGGTTGTAGATCATTTGATTCTAATTCTGGTAGCTTGATGCCAGAAATAACTTATTACCAGGGAGAAATGCTGGAGAATTGTCAGGAATGACAAAGTTTTTATTTGTTTTTAATATCTGTATCATAAAATGATAAAGCTGATGAACCACACAATGATGTGAAGGGGTGAGCCACATAGCCTAGGACTTTCCGCTGTATATATTTATGCTACCTTTTAGACCCCAATTCCTCTTCCTTCCCCACCCCACAAAAGGTCAGAGACCACTTTTGATAAGCAGAGAATCCTTCAAACTCTCTTCTCCTCTCTGGAGGAAAGCACTGGACACATCTGAGGTCTGTTTAGACTTTACAGTCTCATCCATAGACTTTGCACAGTAATAGCAATTCTATTCACAGCCATCTTTTCACAGTCATGTTGAGAGTGTACATAAAGTACTTGATTCTTACTTTGAAATACAATATTTATGAGCTCACATTAAATATAGATCACTGCTGTCCAATCATACTGATAAAGGATGTCATTTTGAAGTCCCCCAGTTCACACTTGCTAGCTGTGACCTTGAGCAAGTTACTTAATCTCACTAGTTTACTCATCCTTAAAATAGGGATAATAATAGTACCTGTCTCATAGCCAGTGTATTTGAAAACTGCATTGCAATGATATAGGACATCTTGAATATTGAGCGCTTCCAAATACAAATACATATTGGGTGTCCACTAGTTTAATTCAAATGAAAATGAAATAAATGGCAAAGAGTTAGTTGTATCAGGAGGCAATATAAGAATTTGAATTAGGGAATCTTGGGTAACCATGATGTTCTAAAATGGTAGTTATCTTTTTTACAAACCCTCCTTGGGGATTCTTTTGTATAGCAAATTTCTTCATTTGCAATCTTTAATCTTTACATTATTAAACTAAAGTCTACATTGATCAGAAGGACATACAGCTTCCTTTTAGGTTTTCAGGTTTGGGGCTTCGTTTGGGGAGAAAGTTGCTACTATTTGGAGAATGGGGGAAGAAGCTGGAAATTCTAAACCCTTAGTCTGATATATTTCCTAGAAGCAGGCCACCAGGTCTTAACTATATTTTTCTGAAACCTGACTGAATTTAATTTTAAATGGCATAAGGACTTGGTATTGAAGGAGTTAAAAGGTCCCCCACACCCCCTCTGCCTGAATCGTTCTTTTGTGTACACAGCTGCAGTTGGAGCATGGGTCAGAAAGGAAATGGTTAGAGGAAGAGCTGGTTTTCAGACCAGGCGAGTCTGCGAGGGGGACTGGGGGTGGCCTGGGGTTTTACATACCAGATGTAGGCCTGCCTGCCCCGGTGCCTGCCTGGAGCTGCTGGCGTGGTCACGCCGCGGCCCTGTGCGAATTGAGCCGAGGTGATGAGTTAGCGAGTTGCTATGGTGACGGGCCTGGACACGTGACCAGGGTGCTGCTGCCGGCGCTTTGACGTCAGCAGCCAGGAGGGCGGGACGCAGGAGGGCGGGGTGGGAGCCAGAGCAGAGAGGCGAGGGAGCTTTACAGGCGGCAGGCACGGTCTGCGTGAGGAGCAGGCGAGCGGGAAGGCAAGACACAGCCACCTTCCTCACCAGCCGGCCCACAGCTGTTTGTTCCCTTCTTTGGGAGTGCGCCAATGCCTGGTCCGACCCAAACCCTGTCCCCAAATGGCGAGAACAACAACGACATCATCCAGGATAACGGGACCATCATTCCTTTCCGGAAGCACACCGTGCGCGGGGAGCGTTCCTACAGGTAATGAGGCTGGTACTGGGAGCGGCGCTGGGCGGGGGCCCGCGGCGGGGGCGCGCGGAAATCCAGCCCGTTATATAATGGAGCAGACACTGCCTCCGGACCAGGCTGCAGACGTGCGTTTGTAAGGGTGGTTGTGATTCTTTGCTATCGGTTTCCATGTGTCATGTTGGGTATGCATTGAGGCTTCACGACTGCAGATGGAAAGCATTTTGTGAATAGGTTTGCTGCCTGCAAGGGATCTCCCTCCGTCTCTCTCCTTTCACATTAATAAAAATGCAAGCAGTTTTTCCCCCTCTCCGAAGGCAGACAGGCTGTAGCACTTCCTTTCCTCCTTCCTTTTTACATTTTAAAGGAACCATTATGTAGGCTGTGCTTAAAGGCAGAGAACAGGAGGATGGCGAGGAAAATGTTTCCGCCTGCCCTGGTGTGTGTGCAGGAAAGATGGAATCCTCTAGATTAAGCTGCAGTCTGTGATGTTAAACCACCAGATTGATGGAGCTTTGTAAGAATTCTGCGCGCTGATTGGTGCAAGGATTGACAGCAGAGGTCATGGTGTCAGGCATTCACCAAAAATTTCCCCATAGAACCCAAGGTTTATTCGAAAGAGACTGGACTGCAACCGACCTGAAAAGAGCTGGGTGCCGTTATGCATTTTCTTAGGAGTCTATGGTCTCTGCGTGGGTGGGGGAGCCCGCCCGCCCTTATTTACAGTAGGAAGGTAATTCCTGGCGTTTGGCTGAGGTCTGATTTGAGGATGGAGCTGATCTTGGTCATTGTATTGTGAACCTTTTGATTAATGAGTCAGCCTGTATGGCTGGCATCATTTTTACATTAGCATATCTGGCAATATGTTCTGGTAGATAAGCTCATTAAAATTGTTTGCATTGTTTGATAAGGATAACAATGTAATTGAGAATGCCGCTAGAGTCCAATGCAGCTCAAGGCCAGACTTAAAGGGAGACTGATAGCTTCACTCATATTTCCTCTCAAGTTCTTTTGTACTGGAGTAGTTATTTTTAAAATGTTACCTTGATAACCACTAACAATGCTTTTGCTTTGAGGCAGAGCACACATACCTCTAAAGCGCATCCTCTCAGCCAGTGAGCAACAGGAAATAACTCTTTTTTTTTTTTTGCCTTGGTATTATGGGTAGAATATTCTGTGTGTATAAATGTGGCATGTTTATAAAATAGGACTAAAAGTACCCCCACTTCCTCTCTCTTTTACCAAAGAAACACTTATTTGTTGACTCAAAAAAAAATGATAAGCAACCTTTGCCCTGTCCTCCCTGGCAGTTATGTAAATACTTGGAGTTAATTTTGGCTGTACCCATGAGGTCACCAAAATCTCATGCCTTATGGCTCCAACTAATACGTTGGCATGGCATCCTCACAGAGTCCAAAAAGCTTGTTATGCACTCAGTATACATCGAAATTGGTCCACAATTTTGGGACTCTTGTTTTGGAGACTTTTGTGATTGGGAAAGTTCGGTCTCTTCTCCCCCTGACTCTCCACCTTTCTCTGTGAACATTCTGAAGCCTATAATATTCGGTTGTCAGAAAAGTCATGACGCATTTTTGCAACAAAAAACAGAAAAAAATACGTCATGACTTTTCCAACAACCCAATAGCATTAAAAACAAAAACGCTGAGTTGCTTTTAAATCTCACTTATTTAAACTGTTCTTATAGGTAATACATTGGAAGCCCTCATTTCTTAAATAATTTAATCTCTGTCATGTAGGTAGGAGTTGCTTTGAAGACGGAGTTTGAATTTTACCATGTGGGCTTAAAGATGTGACCCAGTTGGGTTTTATTAGTCATATGAGCTAACTGAAATGGCAGTGGAAAAATCACTTGGCGGAAAGTTTAAATGCAACCTTTTGGTGATAAATTATTGCTTTGAAATGAAATTTTATTTACTTTTTCAGTTCAGTCCAAGTTATTTCCGTTTCCTGAATTATTTCCAGTTTGCTTTCTTAGTTCCTATGATGGTACCTGAAATTGTGTGAAAAACAACTGAATTTGAATAAAGAACTGACTGAACAAGTTCTGAAGTCACTCTTAGCATCATTGTATTTGTATTTTATATAACAGGATTACTTGACACCATAGTGAGACATGTCATAGGTTAAATAAAGAAGAGGGCCTCCAAAATTGCATTTGTGTTATATTATACAAAGGGTGCACATGGAAACACACACACACAGTTGATCTTTTCCTTGGTCTGTTCTTCTTCCAAAGTGGATGACTAAATGTCTCATAGCTACTACTTATTTTTCGGTAGGGTGTAGGGGAAGGAAAAATGTGACACATTTTTCTATCCAGGAATGGTTCTGTAATTATTTTGGCATTCTGAGGCTGGAATAATATTGCCATTTAATTGCTGAGAAAACTTGGAAGTCAATTTGAAAGCCAGAGTAGATGTGTAACCAAATAAGTTTTGCTTCGGCTTTAGGTTCTGTATATCCCTCACTAATGAGATGTGCTTGAAAGTTCTGTTTGAGGACCATGGAGAGCCTGGGTAAGCCCAGAGTCCTGGGATGATCAGAGGGAATTCTCTTTCTGGTTCCTTTACTGTCTTCTAGGTAGCCACCCTCCCCACCCCTCCCCAAGAAAATCCTTTATCTTTTTAGAGAAATCTACATTTGCTCATTACATATACGATATCTCATTGCAGTCTTACAAAATTTTCATGAAGTTAACTTCAAACATTTAAAAGAAAGACTTTCTTAAAAGAAAAACGATTTAATATAAGAAGAATGCTGCGATTATTGAAAGGGGTACTCCTAGGAACTCCAGAACAAGAACACCCCTCGCCTGGCTGGTAGTATAGCTGAGAGGAGGGGAGTGTGCAACTGGAGAGCAAGACAGTGCTTCCGAGCACTGTCAGTGAGCAATCGGTCGCTCTTCCTAGCAGGAGATTTTATTGCTATAACGTTTGCACCAGATTGTTTATAAATAAGGGTCAAATATGGTTCATGACCCAGATATCTTAACCCAGGTACCTCTTAGTGTAAACAAAGCCCGTTTTTCCAGCCTGGACTAGAGTGGATAGTAAATCATTATTGAAACCAGTGTGCACTTTGGTTAGAAGAGCAAGTTTCCTTTAGAAAATTACCCCTCCATTAATTCAGTTGAAAAGATCAAGTGTAAAAATGGCCATGCGGACATGTTTCCACGGCTCATGTCTACTACTGTGTGATGGCCTGTCTCCCTGGCCCCAGCATCCTCATTGCATTTATGAGCGCTGGAAATTTATACATGTGAAGAGCCGCTTAAAATAATATAAATGTAGGGTGGGCCATTTGAGGTGACACTGTTTAATTCACAGAGGGAGTGAGTTCTGCTCTGGCTCTCCCTAGAGAGGCTACTCCCTATGGCTGTTTCGTGCAGATGCTAGTAGGAAATGAGATTTATTAACTGGCCCTCTGCCCGCCGCATCTTTGTTTGCATACTCCAGGCTTTTAAGAATGAATGTATAAGTCCAGAGGACTCTTTCCACGTGGGTGTCTGAACATGCAACTACAGTAGCGTATGCTTCTGCTGAATACTTAAAAAAAAAAAAATTGACTTGGCCCCAGGAAATGGACTGTAAAGAAAAGCAAAACGAGACCTTAAGTCTAAAACATTGGCTCTGATATCCAACTTTGAAAAATGAACTCTTAAGAAAAACAAAAAGAAAAATCATGCGTTTGTATGTGTGTGAGTATAAAAGATGGAGTAGTGAAAAAGTGTTCCGTTTAATAGAAGCTATATTGTAACGTGCCTCACTTTAACCAGAATATAGATTTCAGACCATACTCTCCAAAACAGCAGCTGCAGACAGCAAAAGTCTAGCTTCATGTGCCTTCGTTATGTGTGTATTAGTATCATCTGGGTTTACAACTACATCTGGGTCATACGAGGGTTTTGAACATAGTGATTTTTGTCCTTAATTTTTCTTAGTATTCTTAAAAAACAAAGGATTACTTGATGCTTTGATGATCAAGTACTCAATTTTTTTAAACTTCTTTTCAGGGTCCTTTGTCAGAGCTTCTGTTAAGGGGATGGTCTTCTGGGTGCCCTTGGTGAGTTCACCTCTGCTCCACCAGTGGCTGTCACTGTTTGTATCTGTTTACAGTGCATTAACATTGGTTTAAGATGGTCCTATGAATTTAGGAGGTTGATTGCCATAGGCGTTATCTTTTCAATATTTATGAGGAAATCTTGAAGCTGCAATGACTAACCCCTTAGATTAATGGAGGGGGAAGTATTGGGACAAATACTCCATTTGGTTTGGAGAATTGATTCGACAAATACTTAAGAGTCTACTCTGGGCAAGCTCTCTGCTAGATGCCCCTTCAAGGTCCTTGAGTTCTAAGAAAGATCTGTGAGCTGCTCGTTTTCTAAGAAATTGACCTCATGAATATTTGGCCTGGTCTGATAGCAAAAGTGGTTTGCATTTCCTGAACCCACAGTGACTCAAAAGTAGAAAAAGATACTCTCAAGGCCAGTATACTGTAGGAAGATAGCAACCTATGGGAGACCAAACTTTTTGGTGAAAAGAGTACAGGCTTTAAAATCAGAAATGATCTATCTTTGGCCTGGCAAGGTGCACCATGGGCAGTAGTGGAAAATAAGGCAGGAGCGTTGAAAGGCAGGCAGGGTGGTCAGAACTTGAAAATGGAAAGCCATTGAAAGCTCATTAATTGAAAAACAGCATAATGTAAACAGACGTGTGCATGCTGGAATTGATCTCCTGTTTTGAAATGAGAGTTAAAAAGGAAAATGGAGTTCCAACAGTGCCCCACCCCACAGAGTCCAGAAATACTAGAGAAGCTTTAATTCACCAAGAGAGAACTCTCTCAAGCCCCAATGTAGGGATCAAGACAAGGTAGATAGATTTTCCCAGGCTCAAGGCATCTTTCCCTGAGTAGAAGCAATCAGTGCACCTTCACCCCATAACGGTGCACCTTCACCCCATAACATGGTCCTTGGGTCAGACAGTGGCTCCTATACG